TCAAACAAGAGATGGCAAGAGTGAACATAGACATTTTAGGAATCAGTGAACTAAAATGGACTGGAATGGGCGAATTTAATTCAGATGATCATTATATCTACTACTGTGGGCAAGAATTCCTTAGAAGAAATGGAGTAGCCCTCACAGCCAACAAAAGAGTCTGAAATGCAGTACTTGGATGCAATCTCAGAAACAAAAGAATGATCTCTGTTTGTTTCCAAGGCAAACCATTCAATAGTAATCCAAGTCTATACCCCAACCACTAATGCTGAAAAAGCTGAAGTTGAATGGTTCTATGAAGATCTTCAGACCTACAATGGTTCTGTCTAGACCTACAAGTTCTAGACTAACACCAAAAAAAGATGAACTTTTCATCACAGGGGACTGGAAAAGTAGGAAGTCAAGAAACACCTGGAGTAACAGTCAAATTTGGCCTTGGAGTACAGATGAAGCAGGGCAAAGGCTAATAGAGTTTTGCCAAAAGAACACACTGGTCATAGCAAGCACCCTCTTCCAACAACACAAGAAAAGACTCTACACATGGACATCACCAGATGGTCAATACCGAAATCAGATTGATGATATTCTTCGCAGCCACAGATGGAAAAGCTCTATACAGTCAGCAAAAATAGGACCAGGAGCTGACTGTGGCTCAGATCATGAACTCCTTATTGCCAAATGCAGACTTAAATTGAAGAAAGTACAGAAGACCACTAGACCATTCAGGTATGACCTAAATCAAATCCTTTACGATTATACAGTGGAAATGAGAAATAGATTCAAGGGATTAGAGCTGATAGAATGTCTGAAGAACTATGGACAGAGGTTCATAATATTGTATAGGAAGCAGTGATCAAAACCATCCCCAAGAAGAAATGCAAAAAGGCAAAATGGTTGTCTGAGGAGCGCTTATAAATAGCTGAGAAAAGAAGAGAAGTGAAACGCAAAGGAGAAAAGGAAAGATATTCCCATTTGAATGCAGAGTTCCAAAGAAAAGCAAGGAGAGATAAGAAAGCCTTCCTCAGTGACCAACGCAAAGAAACAGAGGAAAACAATAGAATAGGAAAGACTAGAGATATCTTCAAGAAAATTAGAGACACCAAGGGATCATTTCATGCAAAGGTGGGCACAATAAAGGACAGAAACAGTATGGACCTAACAGAAGCAGAAGATACTATGAAATATGCAGTGCTTACTTTTCAGTAAGTTGCTCAGTCATGTCCAAAACTCTTTGCAATCCCATGCACTGCAGCCTGCCAGGTTCCTCTATCCATGGGATTCTCCAGGCAAGAATACTGGAAAGGGTTGCCATTTCCACCTCCAGGGGATCTTCCCAACCCAGGGATCAAACCCAGGTCTTTCACATTGTAGGCAGACTCTTTACTGTCTGAGCCACTAGCGAAGTCACATATTAAGAAGAGGTAGCAAGAATACACAGAAGAACTAAATACACAGAAGAACAAAACAGATTTTAATGACCTAGATAACCATGATGGTGTGATCACTCACCTAGAGCCAGACATCCTGCAGTGTGAAGTCAACTGGGCCTTAGGAAGCATCACTAAGAACAAAGCTAGTGGAGGTAATGGAATTCTAGCTGAGCTATTGCAAACCCTAAAAGATGATGCTGTGAAAGTGCTGCACTCAATATGCCAGCAAATTTGGAAAACTCAGCAGTGGCCACAGGATTGGAAAAGGTCAGTTTTCATTTCAATCCCAAAGTAAGGCAATGCCAAAGAATGTTCAAACTACCACACAATTGCACTCACCTCACACGCTAGCAAATACTCAAAATTCTCCAAGCCAGGCTTCAACAGTATGTGAACTGAGAATTTTCACATGTTCAAGCTGAATTTAGAAAAGGTAGAGGAACCAGAGATTAAATGGCCAACATCCATTGGATCATAGAACAAACAAGAGAATTCCAAAAAACATCTACTTCTGCTTTATTGACTATGACAAAGCCTTTGACTGTGTGGATCACAACAAACTGTGGAAAATTCTTCAAGAGATGGGAATTGCAGACCATCTTATGTGCCTCCTGAGAAATCTGTATACAGGTCAAGAAGCAACAGTTAGAACCAGACGTGGAACAACGGACTGGCTCCAAATTGGAAAAGGAGTACATCAAGGCTGTGTATTTTCACCTTGCTTATTTAAATTATATGCAGAGTACATCATGCCAAATGCTGGACTGGATGAAGCCCAAGCTGGAATCAAGATTGCTAGGAGAAATATCAATAACCACAGATATGCAGTTGATGCCATCCTTAGGGCAGAAGAAAGACGAGCTTAAAAAAAAGCCTCTTGATGAAAGTGAAAGAGGAGAGTGAAAAAGTTAGCTTAAAACTCAACATTCAGAAAACGAAGATCATGGCATCCGGTCCCATCACTTCATGGCAAATAGATGGGGAAACAATGAAAATAGTGACAGACTTTATCTTCTTGGGCTCCAAAATCACTGCAGATGGTGACTGCAGCCATGAAATTTAAAGATGCCTGATCCTTGGAAGAAAAGCTATGACCAACCTAGATAGCATATTAAAAAGCAGACAACAAAGGTCCATCTAGTCAAAGGTATGTTTTTTCCAGTAGTCATGTATGGAGGTGAGAGTTGGACTATAAAGAAAGCTGAGTGCCAAAGAATTGGTGCTTTTGAACTGTGGTGTTGGAGAAGACTCTTGAGAGTCCCTTGGACTGCAAGGAGATCCAACCAGTCCATCCTAAAGGAGATCACTCCTGGGTGTTCATTGGAAGGACTGATGTTGAAGCTGAAACTCCAATACTTTGGCCACCTGATGCAAAGAACCGACTCATTGGAAAAGACCCTGATGCTGGGAAAGACTGAAGGCAGGAGAAGGGGACAACAGAGGATGAGATGGTTGGATGGCATCACCGACTCGATGGGCATGAGTTTGTGCAAAGTCCAAGTGTTTGTGATGGACAGGGAAGCCTGGGGTGCTGCAGTCCATAGGGTAGCAAAGAATTGGACATGACGAAGTGACTGAACTGAACACAGTGGACCTCTAATTGCTAAGGTACCTCTGAGACCACTGGTTCCTTCAAATGCAGACAACTTGTGAAAGATGTTGGCTTAGGCATCAATCCGTGTCCAGTCAATGGTAGCCTGACCAGCAGGAATACAGAATCAGGTCAAGTTAGATGACTCAGGCTTGAGTCCACTTTTCCCAGATGCTTTTAGAAATGGTAGGTACTTGGGAATTTCACAAGTTTTTCTGTAGCATATACTGTAATTGATCAAATCCAAAATACGGCAGTCCTAAGATAACACCATTATTTTGTGCACATTAAGGTTTTTCTAAAAGACATCTTGAGGGACTTCCCTGGCTATCCAGTGGCTAAGACTCCAAGCTCCCAATGCAGGGGGCCCAGGTTCAATCCCTGGTTAGGGAATTAGATCCCATATACCATAACTAAGAGTTTGCATGCTACAACAAAGATCGAAGATCCCTCATGCCACAACTAAGACCCAGCACAATCAAATAAAATTTTTATATTAAAAAAATAAAAGACTTTAAAATGTTATAAGAAGTTTTATGATCTCAGAGGTTTTAAAATGTGGGGATAACAGGCATTGTAGAACTGAAGAAATATGTAACATGTATGTATAATGTCATATGAAAGATGCAATATGGTTATGTACATGCCTGACCATCACCAGTAGAAGTTTCTTTTTTGTCCAGCCTCTCGCATCTTCACATTCACTATGGCATCTGACACCTGGCCTTACATGGAGGACTTGTTGCAATGATGACAAGAAAGATCATAGCTCTTATTTATGGACCACTTTTCAGGCAATGCTGCAATTTCATACTAATTAACTCTCAAAAATAACCTTTATTGGTTGTTTTCGAGAGTACTATTATTATTCCCACTTTACAGATAAGGGCACTGAGGCTAAGAGGCTTTAAACAATTCAACCAAGGTGGGAAAGGGGGCTACTAGGGTTACACATCCAAATCTATTTAAGGCTCAGTCTAGATGGTCTAAACCACTGTGCCATGGGTCCTGAAGTGTGGGCAGGCCAGAAGGTGAGAAAGCCAGGCCAGAATTAGAAAGATCCTTAAGAGTTTTGGAGATGAAGTGACTTTAAAATCAGGGTTCTGGATATTATGAGGAGAGTTACTTATAAACTTCAACTTGAGGTCTTCCAACTGACTTCCCCATTTCCTATAATTTAGGGGGTAGGCATTTCACTCCAGGAGTCTGAATTTTATTTGACCTGATGAACTCAAGGTGAGAACAGTATTTTATTCCTTGAGATTCAGAATCCAGGCACCCTACCCTGTTGCACTGACTTTTTTCAAACTTTAAATCATATTTTTAAACTACATATGATAAAAAGCATTTGATTTAACATAAATCCCCCAACTTGACTTTGAATAGTCTATATATTTCCCCTTCACTTTTCTATTGGAGACAGAAAAAACAAATATAGAACTCTGGAGAATCGTTCACTTACTTATTCCTTCATGATATTCCTGAACAAACCAGGACCCAAATCTGTCTTTCTGCCGGGGCGCCTGCATCCACATTGTATAACTGGCTGGGGAAGTGGGAGGGAGGAGGAACACTGATTGCTGAAGGGAATAAAAATAAAGGTCAGGGGCCTCCCTGGTGGCCCAGTGGTTAAGACTACACACTCCCAGTGCAGGGGGAGGGCGTTCAATCCCTGGTCAGGGAACTAGATCCCACATGCCAAAACTAAAGATCCTGCAAGCTGCAACAAAGATTGAAGATCCTGCGTGCTGCAGCTAAGATCTGGTACAGCCAAATAAATAAATAAATAATTTTAAAAAGAAAGTTGTTCAAAACAAATAAATAAAGGACATTTTCCACCTCCAAAGATAAGAACAGAAACTGCTCATTCTCCCGGGAATTACAGCAGCAGAACAGAAAAACATCTCCATACAAGAAAATGTGGCTCTGGCTTCAAGGCACTGCACTCCAGGAAAACTGCCCTTTACCTGGTGGTTCTGTCACTGCACCATCTGGTACACGGGGTCACCAACTTTCAGGCTTCCGATTTTTTCCACCAAATAATAGATTCCAAACAGTGGAGCCGACTTGTTAATTGACTTCTCAGAAGGATCACACAGGCGGTAACTGAAAGAAGCAAAAATTCACCCTCAGGCATAAGAAGGGAATAATCTAGGTGCTCTCAATGGAATTCAGCTTCCATGCTCAGCTTCTCTATAAATAACCTGCAAACCTTTTCTAAAATGTGGACAGAGAAGTCTGGGTAAGTAGTCAAACTGCAAATAAACCTGGTTTTTCTAGAATATCCTGAGAGTCTAAACAATTTTTCTGTTTAGACTTAGCCACTTTCTGTGGCTTTGATTTGAAGTCCCAATGAAAAACTTGTACGTGTCACTTAAAATACTTTGTTCCCGTGCTTACCTTCAGTTTCACAAACATGGGAAATAAGTGCTCAAACAGTCTCACAATGGACCTGCCCTGAACGCCAGGCTTTCTGCCCCTCCACGGTTATAAGTCCAAACCTGGGATCTTTGATAAACAAAACTGAACACAGAGATGCTGTTGGCAGGTGGACTGGACTGTTACTGAGCTTAATTTTTTTTAAAGGCTTGTCTAAAGAAAAAATAATCACTTCACTTCTTAAAAATAAAAAACAAAATAGAATTGCAAATCTGAAGGCTTTAAGAAATAATTTCCTCTGGAACTTAAATCCATTAGAAACAAACAAAAAACAGATGAAAGGGAAACAGAACAGAAAACAACTTCCAGAAAAAGTTAATTTAAGTTTAAAAACATATTCTATATTGAGAACGAAAGTTGGCCAAAATTCTTTAAGTAACAAAACACCCTAACACAAAAGAAGTTCTTGAATAAACAAACTCAGACAACTCGTTTCATTCCCCTTTTCAACTATTTCATTATACAACTCAATTATTCTCATCCTCCTGATACTGATCCTAAAAAGTAAATGAGAGTTGCAAACAAGGTCTTAATTTGGAAATAGGTGTGTAAAGTTTATTAAAAATTGAAGTCAGAGAGATGAAAATTTCAAACTGTGGAATCATACAATTGAAAATTTGTCCAAAACTCTACAAGAGTCATCTAGAAAGAAAGAAAAAAAACAAAAAGGAGGCAACAAATACTCACTGACATTAATAACACACAGAACCAGAAGGTACAAAGGTGCCTAGACAGAGCACCTAGAGCCACAAGTGGCTCGAGGCTGGGGATGATATAAAAATACACCAGACACATTCTACCTCTTCAGGGTTTCGAGTGGCTCCTTCCTGTCAATCACTCCAGTATCTGGGTCCACCGTGGTCATAATGCACCTGTCACACAATAATGAAGGGTCAGGGGACAGTTAAGAACCGGTGACCCTGCCACGCCCCAGAGGTCCAGTCTCGCAAGAATCCTTACCTGGGGCAAGCCAAAATCTTTTTCATTTCTACATTGCCAATGAGAAGTTCATCCCAAGTGTCCTAGGAGAAAAGGAGAAGATATCTTTTAAATTAAGGCTCCATCCATCCTTATTCCAGTTTATTCTTCGGCTGGTCCTATGAAGCTAGCAGAAGAATAAAGTACAAGCGGATGCCGCAAAGTACCCCAGAAAGGACTCAAAGGAAGGAGGGTGTGAGATGTGGAGTTTTGTGGGTTTTTTTGGCTGCATCACTCAGCACATAAAATCTTAGTTCCCCAACCAGGGATCAAGCCCTCACCCCCTGCACGGGAAGCTTGGGGTGTTAACCACTGGACCAACAAGGAAGTTCCAGGATGCAGTTCTTGACTGGGCCTCAGAAGCCTTCCTCTGTCAGCACAACAAAATACATCTTCTCCAGGGGCAGTTTGCCATGAGAACCATCAGGCAACTCCAGGTCAAGCTAATGATATATAATGAGAAGTGGAAAGCTTGCAAGACTGCCCACTCTTTCCTTTTGCTAAGCTGCAATGGAAGCCAAGTTACAATCTGACGGTTCTTTGATGAGTGGGACATGGCCCAAGAGAAGTAAGTTCTAAGATGCACCCATTCAGCACTGCCGCTGGTCCTGACCAGCCATAGCCAACCACCTGCCTTGTTTTCCCGATCTTAAACCATGGTAGGTCCGGCCAATGTCTGCCTTGGGATTTCCTTCAAACCTCATGACTAGGGGAGGAATTAATATGGTCCCATGTTTACACAAAGATACAGAGGCAGAGAAGGTTTACAAAATATTTTCAGGGTCACAGCAGCTAGGTTTGAAAACTTTTCTGATTCTGAAGCAGTGCTTTTAACCACCCAGCTTTTAACTATCCCCATGTCTATACCACCTGGTATAGGTCTGTCTAGCCAAAACTATGGTTTTTCCCATAGTCATGCATGGATGGGAGAGTTGGACTATGGGGACTATGGACTATGGACTAAGCTGAGAGCCGAAAAATTGGTGCATTTGAACTGTGGTGTTGGAGAAGACTCTTGAGAGTCCCTTGGACTGCAAGGAGATCCAACCAGTCCATCCTAAAGGAAATCAGTCCTGAATATTCATTGGAAAGACTGATGTTGAAGCTGAGACTCCAATACTTTGGCCACCTGATGCAAAGAACTCACTAACTGGAAAAGACCCTGATGCTGGGAAAGATTGAAGGCCAGAGGAGAAGGGGACAACCACGGATGAGATGGCTGGATGGCATCACTGACTCAGTGGACATGAGTTTGAGTAAACTCTGGGAATTGGTGATGGACAGGGAAGCCTGGGGTGCTGCAGTCCATGGGGTCGCAAAGAGTTAAACACAGCTGAGTGACTGAGCTGAACTGAAGATTCACACTGAGTGGAATGATTATGACAGGAGTCAGCTTGTGTTTATTTTTTTCTTTTGCATGTATCTTTCCTTCGGCCATTCATATTTGGGGGTTGGTGATGGACAGGGAGGCCTGGCATGCTGCAGTTCATGGGGTCACAGAGAGTCAGACACAACTGAGCGACTGAACTGAACTGATACCGCCTGGAGTAGAAAATGGCTAGCCACTCCAGTATTCCTGCATGGAGAATTTTCCATGGACAGAGGAGCCTGGCGGACTACAGATCATAGGATCTCAGAATCAGACACGACTGGGCACGCACACACATGTATATATCTATCTGTACACATGTACACAAGTATACATACATACATATAAACACATAAATATGGAGGTTGTATTAATATAGTATATATACATATATGAAAGTGAAAGTTGCTCAGTTGTGTCTGACTATTTGCAACCCCATGGACTATAAACAGTCTATGGAATTCTCCAGGCCAGAATCCTGGAGTGAGTAGCCTTTCCCTTCTCCAGGGGAATCTTCCCAACCCAGGGATCGAACCCAGGTTTCCTGCATTACAGGCGGATTCTTTACCAGTTGAGCCACAAGGCAAGCCCATAAACATATGTATACATATATACACACACATACAAATATGCAATACACACACACACATATGAGGAGGATATGTTATAGGCCTCTCTTGCTAATAGGAAAGCCATCTGCAAAGCCTGAATTTCACAAGCCAATCCTTTGTCCAGGTCCCGAGGGAGACATGGGAGGCATCAGGGGATAGGTCCTCACTCTAGGCTCCATACACCAACAGTTTATCTATAACTAGATGTGTTAGGGGCTGACTGAAACTGCCCGCCCTGGTCAGGCACCATAGTAATCATTTGCATGAGTTGTTTTACAACAGGAGGTCCTGGTAAGGAACACATAACTAATAAGCCACCACCAACCAGAAGAACTCGGGAAAGGTCAAAAGGAGACACCACGTGTCCGACCACCTCCCAGAATCCTTCTCACTGGCATCCATCTTGTCTGAACAAGGCGTGCACCACCAGGAAGGACTCTGAGTCAGAATGATTGGCTAAAGACAACCCAGAAACTAATCCCATCACCATAAAACTTGAGAGACTGTGAACCATGTGCAATGTGCCTTGAAAATTTGTTTCCTGATTTCAACCCAAGTGAGCTTTTGGAGACCACGGGTCTGAGGATTTGGTGAGAAATCAGCCTCCCAGTGAGGCAGTGGGACATCCAGTCCTCAGCTGGTGGCTCACTGCCCTGGGGACAGGAGAGGAGACCAGTCCATCCCTGAAGGAGGCAGGGCAGAAGGGGGAATGGGACCTCACAACTAACATCCCCCCTCCCCTGTTGATGACCAGGCTGCGATCCTGCTAGGGACCTCTTTCAGGGTACACTAGACCACCCCTGCCCCACCCCAGGCCAACTTAGCAAATGCACTAAAGGAAGTCCAGTGCCTAACTGGATCTTCTCAACTCAGAAATCTCTGTGGGATATGACTGAGGTAAGGGGGTCTCTGTGGATGCCTTGGGTTCCCAACTGTCATTTATGAAACTCTGTGATTTAAGAAGGGAAGTTGCCATATCAATGAACAAGGATGTCACAGCCATCAGCCCTCCGAATGTGAATTCCTGAGCCCAGAGGGCGCCCAGGAGAAACAATACCTGCTATCAGGCAGCCATCAGCCACTCCCCACGGTCAGCACTAAGGAGCTGGGAAGAGTTGGGGGGGCGGGGAGAGGGGGAGGGGTTTGGGGCAGGAGACTGGGGGGTGAAAAATGCAGGATACTGACCCTGGAGAGCTGAGATGCATATGAAAGGAATGATTGCAGTGAGCCCAGATCTTGCATCTTCCCATATGCAGAAAAGGACAAAATTCAACTCGAGATATCTGTGTGTGTGTGTGTGTGTGTGTGTGTGTGTGTGTGTGTGTGGTTAGTCGCTCAGTCCTGTCTGACTCTTTGCGACCCCATGGACTGTAGCCCACCAAGTTCCTCCATCCATGGGATTCTCCAGGCAAGAACACTGGAGTGGGTTGCCATTTCTTCCTGTAGGGGATCTTTCCGACCCAGGGATCGAACCCACGACACTTATGTCCCCTGCACTGGCAGGTGGGTGCTTTACCGCTAGGGCCACCTGAGATACGTGGTCTTCCTTAATTAACAATAATTTTTCGATGTTCAGACTACCCGACATTTATTGAAAACTTCTATACAACCTGAATACACCCCTCCCACCCACACCTCCGCCCCTGCCTCCTAGGAGCAGTTCTCTCAGGGTCACTTGAGATGCTGACTCTAGGGTCTGAAGTCCTAAAAATTCCCACCGAATAAAACATAATTCTCTGCTTCTAGGTTGTCACTATTTTTTAAGTCAACAGTGGAAATAAACTCTGAGTTTCAAACAACTAATTGAGGGATGAACTATGTAATAACTCCTGTAAAAGGCAAGGCCACATCATATAAAATCCTTTGTTGTTGTTCAGTCGCTAAGTCAAGTCATGTAAAGTGGAATCTCTAGATTCTAGCCGGGACTTTTGACGAGCCATGTTCAAGTGCAACACGGCAAGACGGTCAGAGCGCCTGGCTGGCCCCCTTTAGAACCCTGACCTCCCAGGGGGTGTGACCAATAATACAGCTCCCGTATCTGAAGTGACGGGTCCCCGGCGCCCGGGCCTGGAAGGAGCTAACAAGACTAGACACATTTGGCCACACGAGGGCGCGGCGGGCACAGGCATGCAAGCCCATCGGGCAGCCAGGGCAGAACCCCGCCGGCTCTCCGCTCAGCTTCCTAAGTACCTCTCCGTTCCATTTCTTTTCACACGTGCTGATGAATTTCATCTATCAAAGCCACATAGCTGTGTAAAGCCGGCCTCGTGGCTATCATATAAAGCGAGAAGCCTGAAAAGTTCAGTTAGATTTCCTAGTTTACAAGACATTTAATCTGCTCCTAACCGGCTTCCCAGGTGACTCAGTGGTAAAGAGACACAGGAGACAGGGGTTTAGTCCCTGGATGCGGAAGATCCCCTGGAGAAAGAAACGGCAACCCACTCCAGTATTCTCGCCTGGGAAATCCCATGGACAGAGGAGCCCGGCGGGCCACAGCCCATGGGGTCGCAAAGAACTGGACGCGACTGTGTAACTACACCGCAGCAAACGAGGAGCTGAAGCTCTCTGGGCTCTAGCTTCACACACTTCTGCCCCTCTTCCTCAGCCCCTCAAAGTCTCTGTGGCAAATATGTCAAGTTGCCGAGATGCAATCAAGAAAGCAAAGGTGTAGGGAGATCTCCTTAAGTAAAGGCAGCGACACCATCGACAGCTTCTTGGGGAATGGGAATGTCTGACGGCTCCCTCCAAACAGAACTCCCGTCTCCCGTGTGCTCATCGTGTTGGCTTTTCTAAATCAGGACTAATTTCCCTGAGGTACTTTGAGGTCCCCTAGCAAAGTGGGGATGTCATAAAAGCTCCCTGGAGGAGAACAGGGACCCCTATTTGAAAGGCATGTCATAAAGGGATGAGGGGAGCCCCTATAGTCGACCATATGCATACAACACCAAGAGTGAACCCTAAGGCCAGCTATGGACTTTGGGTGATTACGATGTCAGTACAGATTCATCCTTGGTTAAAAAATGCCAGGCGAGTGATGCTGATACCAGGGGAGGCTACATATGGGGGCTAGGAGTAGATGGGAAATGGTCACTGAGATAAGAAGCATTGGTCAATTTTATCATTTTGTTTTAATATTTATTTGTTTATTTATTTATTTGACTGTGTAGGGTCCCAGCTGCAGCACTCAAGATCTTTGTATCGTGGGAGATCTTTCGTTGCGGCTCACAGACGCTCTAGTTGTGGCATACGGGCTCAGTTGTTCCAGGGCATGTAAGGATCTTAGTTCCCCAACTAGGGATCCAAGCCTGCATTGCAAGGTGGATTCCTAACCACTGGATCACCAGGGAAGTCCCAATTTTATTATTTTTTAAACTTCATCGCTCCACATTCCCAGAGTTCAAGCATACCACACAGGCCCAAAGGAAACCGCTTAAAAAAAATCTGCTTAATAGTCTGAATTACACGGAAAAAGTACAAAGTGCTTTGGGTCCCAAAGAGTAAATGTTGCGCAGTGCATCCTCCTATTGCTCTACGATTTTGCAATAAATAACGGCCTGAATTTTTGCACTATGCTTAGGTTTGCCATATGTTTATTATTAGTTGGTCTATGAAATATTTAGGTGCACTATCATTTTACACTAATATTTAACAGAGTCCCGCTAACTGGAAGGGTTATAGATGGTGTCAGGTAGACAGTTAGTGCATCAGGCCCTTAACTCTTGGGCTTCTTAATTTAAAGGAGACTAAATCAGCCCCATTAGCATCATTTTATAGTAAAGATTTTTTTAATATGCATTTCCAAAGGACTCTTCTATTCAAATAAGAATACCATATGTACTATTTCTGTAAGCCTATCACAATGCAGGAAAAAAACAACAAATGGACTTGGGAGTACAAGGTCACTTAACATCTTTTAAATTGAAAAAGCAAGGCTCCACCCACTCAAATTGCCTAAGCAAATATAGTTAGGCTTACATCAGCTGTGGGTTCAGTTTGACAAGTTAGAGGTGAGCCAAAAATTCTTAGCTGGCAAGTTACAGAAAAGCAAAAATTCTTTAGCCAGGAATGGGAGTATCTTTTCTTCTTCTTCCTCTGGTTCAAGATCTTAAACTAAAATTAATATCTTTAGTGGAGACAAATCAAGAAAAATTGTATTCCCTAAAAGAAAGTGTCTCAGCAAAGTTTTACAGGCCAGTTTTACAGGAGTCCTGTGCAAGAATTTTTGCTTCATGGACTTTCTGATCAGTCTTTAGCATTATTAATACTGAGTCTCATTTCATTCTGTGCTTAACAACTAACTAATGACTCTGAACTTCTGCACACTCTATTCATCAATACAGAAAAACAGAACAGGGGAGAAATAGGTGGGTTTACTGGGAATGTCTCTGAGGCTTGAGCCTCAAGCTCTGGACCCTTTTGAGGCCTTGCACTTAATCTTGGTTTTGTTATTTTCTTCTCTTAAAGAGCCCCCTCAAAGTGTATCCACTTCAGGTCACACCAAATCTGGGTTATTCCTGGGGAGAAAAACAAGTCTCTTCCAGCAGGCAGCCGATGCCCAGAGAATGTCAGCACTCCTATGTCTCCACCCCCTCTGTCACCCTTGCCCTTCACCCCTCCTAAATCAGCACTTTCCTGGGCACTGTTTGCACAAGAGTCCCCTAGGGTGGTGCTGCCAACATAGTCACAGGCCTGATCGTAATTCTGACACAGGTTTCAGGTAAGGCGGGCTGATCTCCCTCTGGGGACGAAGCATGGCACGGAGTTTCTGCCTCAGTTTCCCTAACTTTCCAAGCACTTTCTAGAGAGCTGCCAGGGTAAAATCGTGCAGCTCGAAGTATCATGCAGTTTGGTCATATTTGTTGGATGCATGAAAATAATAATTACTTCTTCATTTAAAATCATTACCAACTCTTCCTTATCCACAATATAAAAATCTAAACTCCTGGGACTTCCCTGGTAGCCCAGCGGTTAACAGTCCATCTTGTGATGCAGAGGACACAGGTTCAATCTCTGGTTCTGGGAACTAAGACCCACATGCTACAGGGCAACTAAGCCTGTGTGCTACAACTAGAGAAAGCCCTTTGCTGCAATGAAGATCTAGTGCTGCCAAAAAAAAAAGAGTTTTTAATTTATAAAAAGTAAAATCCAACCTCCTCGGCATGGTGGCCTCTAACCAGCTCCAGGTCCAGCCACCTCATGCCACTTCTCCTTTACCAGAAGCGTCCCTGTGATTCTGAAATGATCCCAGACACCCTTAATGTAACAGCCTGTGCTGCTTTTAGGCCTTCTAACTGGTGGCCTCCTTTACCCACCGTGACCCTCACTGCCCCTCACCAGCACACATAACAACACACTTCACAGCACAGTTCCTGGGTAGCTTGATCTGACCCCTCTCTGCCCCCAAGCCTCCTCTCCAGTAGGTGTAGGTACTTCTACTTCTAAGCATCCTTGGCCCCTGATAAGTATGTGCATTAAAGCTCTCCTCATGCTGGCCTGCCATTGCGTCCCGGCCATCCCTCTCCTATCAGGAAATTCTGAAGGGCAGGGTCTGTATCTTTTCATCTCTGTATCCAGGATTCTTATTATGGGCCACAGTGCCAGTCTGTAATAGATGATCAATTTTAAAAAATCATTTTTAATTAAAAAATTTAATTAAAATCAATTTTAAAAATTTTTAACAAATGTAGAAAGGGATTCAAGACATTAGATAACAAACAACAGGATAATATCAACAAGTAGATAACATCTGTATACCCTAGTTATTCCTTTCATTATCAAATAAAATGAAGTACCTTCACATACGAGGATTTATACTAGCCTCCATGCAAAGGTTTATACTAAAGAACAACATTTACCAGCAAATGGGCCACAGTTTACTCACACAAAAGGATTGCAGGGGTCACCCAAGGGAGCAAAGAATTGAGAAGGTATGTTAGATCCTCTAAGAATTAGCTTCTTGGGATCTCTTGATTGGAATCATGATCTCCATTCCTCAGAAGCTGGAGCTGTAAGCCCTGGGTTCTAATCCAAAGCCACTACTTCCATGCCTAACAAGTTATGTAACACCTGCAAGCTTCTGTTCCCTTATAAAAAGGAGAAAATAGTACAGACTTCACAGCACTGTTCTAAGGAACAAATAGAGTAATTTGCATGAAGTCATCCATTGATTCTGTGTCTGGCACCCAGTAAACAATGAATGAATGGTTGCTGTTATTTCCAGTGCTTATTAACTTAAGCTTTATAATACAATCCCAATGTTTACTAAGATTCCTAGTACTTGTTATTACCGAGCAACATACAACTATATACATTTCACATACAGGTAGCAGGTACAAGGTGCTAATGTGGTTGTCCTTTTAGGGCTAAAAGGGGCTGAGTCTTTGGAGGGTGAAAATTTCTAGTTTCAACCACATAGCAGAGCATATGAGTCCTCTGGGAGATAATTCAGGCCACAGAGGGACACGTCTCCAGGTCTGGGTTTACAGGTACATCTCCTGTATCCTCCTGGCCTCCACTCTGGGGTCTGGAGCTTTCAGAAGTCTCAAATCTTCCAGCACTCCTGGATGGTACAGGTACAAAAATGGGCTGTTCTCTTCATCTTTTCTTCCCTGTAGCTATCTATGAGCTATGATTATAAATACACTCTAGCCTAGTCCCATTCTTGTTGTTACTCAATCTGACTCTTTGCAACCACATGGAATGTAGTCCACAAGTCTTCTCTGTCCAAGTAATTTCCCAGGCAAGAATACTAGAGAGAGTTGCAAATTTTTTCTCCAGGGGATCTTCCCCACCCAGAGATGAAACCTGCCTCTCCTGCGTTGCAGGCGAATTCTTTATCGCTGACCCACCCAGGAATGTCCCAGTCTAGACCCAGGCTTGCTACAATTTGGGAGTTCCGATTGCTGGCTTGGGAGCCAGAGCAGAAAAGGGTGAGCAGCGCCCCCCTGAGGCCAGCGAGGAGATAGTGGCAGCAATAAGTGAACCTCTGCACGCAAGACGCGGGCGAGTCTCTCAAACCACCAACCTGGCCAGCCTCAGAGGGTCCGACTTGGTGCTGACTCGGGAGCACCTCCAGACATCATGCATAAAAGCAGAGAGTCGCTTACCTCCTCAAAAGCATTGCAGCCTGTCACCACGATATTTGGCCTGAAATTGTTCATTTTCACTTTCTTCTCCATCCTGGTATTCAGATCGGCCAGGGAGGCTTCCGACAGGATCAGGACCGGGCTGCAGTCCGGGTACGCCACCTGCGCCAAGGACACGGCACCGTCAGGTCTCGCCGCCCGGGGAACGGGCTCAGCCCAGCAGCCAGCCCGCCTGAGTGCAGAAGGGGACAGCTGTGTTCAGACGGGAGAGGTGACTCCGCGGGCTTGGAAATGGCCAGGTCAGCGCCCGAGCAGAGTTCCTGCCCCCAGCCCCCACCCCGGGGCGCAGATGGGGCTCCCTGCCCACACAGAAAGCAGGGGGGCCAAGGCTACCCTGCAGCCTCATCTCTCGTTCCTCACGCCCGCCCAGCAGTGAGTCCCCTGCCGCATCCCCACCGCCATCACCAGACAGGGGAAGGGTCTGCTGCCAATCAGCTCTGCTCTAGCCCTGATTTTCTTTAGCTGCGCCATTCACTCCCGTGCATTTATTAAGCACCACCTATGCATCAGACACTGTTCTAGGAGGGGAAATAGCATGAAAACAGCAGATAAAACCCCCTGCATTCAAGGGGCTTGTAGTTCAGAGGACATGGGGAGAGACACCCCGAGATGGATTTTGAGCCTCATCTCACTGCAGAATCAAAACCTCTGGTTTGGGGGCTGTAGCTGACTCAGGGGAGGTGAGGTGCCTTTTAAACAACAGAAATGATCACACCCCACTGGTTGGGAAGGGTGAACTTGGATAAACTCTGCTTCTGTGATTTTAGAAGACTTGGATTTAGAAAACTTCATGGACAGAGGAGCCTGATGAGCTACAGTCCATTGGGTCACAAAGAGTCGGACGTGACAGAATGACTGAGCACATAAGCACATAAACCTCACTTTGGCCTGCCAGCTCATCATCTCTGTCCTCGACACCTGTCCAGGTAGCGCCCTCAGTACCCCCTGGGTCATCCCTCAGTTCTGTTCAGTTCAGTTGCTCAGTCATGTCCAACTCCTTGCAACCCCATGGACTGCAGCACGGCAGGCTTCCCTGTCCATCACCAACGCCTGGAGCTTGCTCAAACTCATGTCCATCAAGTTGGTGATACCATCCAACCATCTCATCCTTTGTCATCCCCCTTCACCTTCTGCCTTCAATCTTTCCCAGCATCAGGGTCTTTTCCAGTGAGTCAGTTCTTCGAATCAGGTGGCCAAAGGATTGGAGCGTCAACTTCAGCATCAGTCCTTCCTAACTGGGGCCCCAAGGGAGGCTCTTTGTGGGCCCAGAAGGAAGCCGGAAGGGAAGGGCAGGTACCTGCAAGCTCACCTGGTAATTCTGGTCCAAAAAAGGCAACATTTCATTTGCCACTCTTCCCTTCATGTTCTTTTCAAACTGAACCAGCCTGAAAGCATCTGTTTGCAAGAAGTTGGTGAACCACTGAGCAGCCTCGTCGCCACAGTCCCTGCCCTGGATGTCAAGACCAAACACCCTGGAGAGGTCACGGAGAGCAGGGGGGTTACGTTCATACATCAACACACAGAGTGGTGGGGTCAAGGTGGAAGAGCTGGGCTGCTGGGGTCTGACTGTCCTGGAGGACCAGTGAGTGGTCCGTGGGCCAAAACTGGGCAGAGGCAGAGCGGGAGGGAGCAGGGAAGAACTAGGCAGATGCTCATAACTCATGCAGTTACAAGCTGAAATACCGATTGTGTTTCAAGAGGCAGGGCTGGAGCCTGGTGCTCTGCATTCCTAACAAGCTTGGGGATGCCTAGGCTGCAGGTCCACGGACCACACTTTGAGTTGCAGGGATTTAGGATGCTTCAGAAAGGGAGAGGGACCATGGTGTGGTAGAGGCACCCTGATCTTGGATTCTGGTAGACCTGGTTCAAGCTGGAACTCTGCCATCTCTAATCTTATGACGTTTAGCAAATCATTAAACTCCTCTGACCTTCTGTCTCAGTTACAAATTGGAAATAGTAATATATTACCTGCTTCACAAGGTGGACACAGGCTCCACCAGATAATGAAGTGGTCTTTGAGGATTTTTTGCTTGAGTGATCTCAAAAGATAAAAGCTATATACCCCCCCAAAAAAGCTATGTACCCCTCACAGAACTGCAAGTTGACATGTGATTTCTTCTTTTTTTTTTTTAACTGAAATATAGTTGATTGACAATATTGTGTTAGTTTCAGATATAAGTGATTGAGTTATACTTTTTCAGGTTATTTTCCACTACAAGTGATACAAGATATTGAATATAGTTCCCTGTTTTATGGGCTTCCCAAGTAGCCATAAGGAATCTACCTGCCAATGCAGAGAGAGTTGGGTTCAATTCCTGGGTAAGAAAGATCCCCTGGAGGAGAAAATGGCAACCCAATTCAATATTGCCATCTGGATAAGCCCACAGACAGAGAAGCCTGACGGGCCACAGTCCAGTGGGTCACAAAGAGTCAGACATGCCTGAGCAGGCATGCACTGTGTGTGTCCCTATTTTATGCAGCAAATCCTTGCTGTTTATCTATTTTATGTATTGTAGTTCACATCTGTTCCTCTCATACTCTTAATTTTTCCCTCTCTCCCTCACTTTCCCCTTGGGAAATAAGAAGTTTGTTTTCTAAGTCTGTGATTCTGTTTCTGTTTTGTATATAGATTCATTTGTATTATTTTTTAGATTTCACATATATGTGATAGCATATGATATTTGTCTTCCTCTGTCTTCGGTTCATGGGGTCACAGAGTCGGGCACGACTGAGCGACTGAACTGAACTGTCTGACTTTATTTAGTATGATTTTGTCTAGGTCCATCTGTATTTTTTATAAGTTTAATTTGTTATGAAAGATTAAATTTCCATTGGATTGTAAATATTAACATTTAAAGTAAAATTATATCATAATTTATGTGTTATACCTTAATATTATAAATGCATATAAATTATGCTTTTTAAAGCATGCAATGGAATTCAAATGTCAGGGTAGTTTGATAGCTATTTTTTAAAACTATTTTTAATAATACATGGTTAGGGACTTCTTTTATGGCCCACATTTTAAAAATTATTTTCAAATTTTTTCCCAATCTAAGACTCCCCCAGTGGTCCAGTGGTTAAGATGCCATGCTTCTGCTGTAGGAGGCATGGGTTCCAACCCTGGTTAAGGAAGTTTCACACCTGGGGCAGCCAGAGGGAAAAAAATGTTTTCTTAGTTTTATTGAGACATAATTGACACACAGCACTGCCTAAGTTCAGGGTATAAAGCATAACGACTTGACTCACATGTATTGTGAAATGATTACAAGTTTAGCTAGCAGTCCTCATCTCATAGTTTTTTAAGTTCCTTTTTTCTTATGCTGAGAACTCTTAGGATTCACTGTCTTCACAGATGGAATGAAAGAAGTTGATTTATAATAATTCCACTCATCCTTTGAATCCTTCTGTGATCTTTGGCACTTAGTAATCTTTCATTAAAAGTGTTTTTAATAATTTATCAGCAACAATTTGACTAGAGGTGCTTTCATTTTAGTGTAAGACAAAGACTTTGAACCACCATCTTGTAGAATGACTTTACCCCCGTCATTAGAAACATTCTCCTTTATCAATACCAGCAGGTTTTTCCCTCCCAGGGCAGTGCTCTCTACTAAGACAAGGGATGGGCAAGCCTTTCATCTGTACCAAGGAGAGGTGGAGAACAGAACTTGCCCCCTGCAGGTAGCATCACAGCTGGAGAGAGAACCTGTAAGATTCAAGGATCTGGAAACTGATTCCCTTAAAGGGATCCCAGCCCTCAGTTACCACGGGAGGTGTTTGCATTTCCCTGTGAGTGCCTCCTCCAGTCTGAAGGCCCCTGGGGTGATGTATGTGAGGGAATCCGAGGTGGACCATGAGATGCTCCCTGAGACCCACAGACCTTGTCTGACGGCTAGACTCACCCCACCTCCTGGCAAATCTCCATGCAGTTCTGAAGTTTCTTGGCCCTTTGCCTTCTCTCTAAACCCTCTTCTTGGAGCCACTGTTCGGCCTCTGACTAATCCCTGGCTCCAACCCCATGGTCCTCTCATGGTCCTCTCCCTCACTGCCTTTTTTCAGCCTTTCCCCTAAAATCTCCTCCACCAGTCTGCTACTCCATACAGATCTGCTCCCTGGGCTGAGCGCTTCCTTCAAGCCCTTCAGGACAGCCCTCCTGTGTAAGTGCACACACTTCCACCCACTCAGGTCAGTTTAGTGTGGACTCTTTGAGAAGCAGAGAGCACCCAGCGGGTCAGGGGAAAACTAATTATCCAGTGCCCCTGAAAGTTACTCCCCCACTAATCCTTCCTCCTTCCCCTCCCTACTGCAGACTCTACCCTTCTGTCATTCCACCTCCTGCAGTTCTCTCCAAATTTTATGAAAAGTTCACTTTCTTCCATATTTCTACACGAAATGTTCTATCATCAACACCCCACAGGAAAGAACCGCATCTCCCTGAGTGAGCATAACAGAACTACATTAGTTAGAAATCTAATTTAGTTCAGGATTGAAGGAAATCAACTCTGAATATTCATCGGAAGGACTGATGCTGAAGCTGAAGCCCCAATACTTTGGTCACTTGATACAAAGAGCCAACTCATTGGAAAAGACCCTGATGCTGGGAAAGACTGAAGGCAGGAAGAGAAGGGGACGACAGAGGATGAGATGGTTGGATGGCATCCTCGACTCAATGGACATGAGTTTGAGCAAACTCTGGGAGGTAGTGAAAGACAGGGAAGCCTGGTGTGCTGCAGTCCATGGGGTCACAAAGAGTCAGACATGACCGAGGGACTGAACAACAGCAAAATTAGTGATCTACTAATTCACAAAGCAAAATAACTCACTAAAAATACTTGAGGAGACAAAAAACCTTGAACGGACTTTTACAAAGAAAATCTAGGCAGTTTAACTGGAAAGTTTCACTAATGATCAAAGAATAAAAACTATCAAATATAAATAGAAAAAAATTTAATTGTCATTTAAAATAGGACAAAGAGATAAGATGTCTCGGACTCAATCTAACAAGAGATGTACAATTCTATTATGGAGAAAATTATGAAATTTTGTTAAAGAAATAAAATAAGACACAAATAAGGGAGAAAAGATAACACATTCATGGATAGGGAGGCTATTGACAATAAAGATGATAACTATGTGAGACCTATCATTTATTTAAGGGCCTGCTATGAATCAGGAACTCTTTAAGTAAATACATAAATTCATTTCAATTTTCTCTAAATGGAGCCTCAAATTCAATGCAATTCTGATCAAAATCCCAAAAGGATTTTACATGGAATTTGACAAGCTGATTCTAAAATTTGTAGGAAGAAATTCCTTGGCAGTCCAGTGGTTAGGACTCTGCACTTTCACTGCAGTGGTAATGGGTTTGATCCCTGGTTGGAGAGCCAAGATCCTGCCTGCCACACAGTGAGGCCCAAAAGATAAAATAAAAACAATAACAATGTCCCATTGATTAAAAAATAAAATAAAATGTGAAGTCCAAAGATAGTCAAGACACTTGAAATATAAAATAATGAGGAGACTCATCTTACTCGATATCAAGACATAAAGTTAAAGAAATTAAGACAGTGATGGATAGGATCAGGAATGGATACAGAATCCAGTGCAAAGGACAGAGAGCTCAGAAAATAACTGATACTTCCTAAAGAAGCAAGTGGCTCAGTGGTAAAGAAGCAGGAAATGCAGGTTCAATCCCTGGGTCAGGAAGATCCCCTGGACATGGAAATGGCAACCCACTCCAGTATTCTTGCCTGGGAAATCCCACGGACAAAGGAGCCTGGCAGGCTGCAGTCCATGGTGTTGCAAGAGTCGGACATTACTTTGCACCTGGACAACAACAACAAAGATCTTAAGATGCCACGATGCAGGTGGCATTATATATCACTGGGAAACAAATGGATTGTTCAGTAAAATATTGGAACACTTGATAATAGTATAAGAAAATCAAACTGAATTTCCACCTCAAATCACTATCAAAAATAAACTGTAAAAAATAAATAAATAAACTCTAGATGCAGAAACATAAGTGGAAAAGGCAAAGCTTCAATAGTTTTAGAAAAACAATAGTAGGAGAATTTTCTATAACTTTGGAATGGAGTATATTTATTAAGACACAAAAAAAGGGCTAATTCCCCCCCCCAAAAGATTAATTAATTTGAATATCATAAAATGTAAAATGTCTATTTTTCAGAAGATACCATAAAAAAGATTAAAAAAATAAATCACAAAGCAGGATTTTGCATCTCTTATAATTGATCAAAGATCTGACCCAACCTAAAGAACTCCCCATCAATAGGGCAAACTTGGGCATGAAACATAAAAAATAATTTCATAGACAAAAAGAATACAAGGAACCAATAACTATAAAGAAAAAATATTTAGCCTCCAGATTTCAATGAAATGCCTAGGAATGCAAATTAAAACTACAAAGAGATACCACCTAATTCATTTTAAAGATACCTGCAGAATTAAAAATATAAGAAAAGCCAGATGATGAGGACTGGTAACAAATCTAATTGATGAGAACACGAGGCAATGAACCCTTACTCTGGTGAGGTATAAATTGGTACAATTTTGGGAACCAATTAGGCATTTCCTTATCAAAATTAACATGCAGATACCCAATGACTCAGTAATTCTATTCCTAAACTCATGCTCTAAAGAATTAAAGATATGTACAAAAATGTTCTTAGGACATTTTTCATATTAGAAAAAAACTGCAAAATGACATGAGTTAATGGAGAAGAACATAAAGAAGTTGTAGCAAAGTCATATAGTGGAAACTATACAGCAGTGAAAAAACTCAACTACAGCTTCCAGCCACAAGGCACAGATGAATCTTACAACGATGAAAACAACAGGCAGCTACAGAAAAATACATATTGTGTAATGACATTTTATAAACTTGAAGCAAAACTTAACCATATATTATCTAGGAGCACATCCATATATAAAGAGAAGAGTAGCAGGAACCAGGAAAAAAAGAAATTGGGGACCCTGGTTTCTCTGAGGGGCAGGACATCATGAAGGTACATGAAATAAATCTATTCATGTTGTATTTCCTAAGTTGGGTATGGTGCTACAGGTGTTTGTTTCAATGTCGTGTTTTATAACTTAATATGCTTTATGTAGGGCTTCCCTGATAGCTCTGTTGGTAAAGAATCTGCCTGCAATGCAGGAAGAAGACCCTGGTTCGACTTCTGGGTCAGGAAGATCCGCTGGAGAAGGGATAGGCTACCCACTCCAGCATTCAGGCTTGGAGAATTCCACGGACTGTATAGTCCATGGGGTCGCAAAGAGTCAGGCACAACTGAGCGACTTTCATTTTCATACTTTATGTAGATTCTTCACATATCAAATATTTAATTATATCATATTGTCAGTAGTCAATATATCTCATAATGGAATGAAACCCAGCTAGAGAAATTTCTTCAAAGGAAACTATTACTTCAGTTATAAAGAAAAAAAACTTCTGTTGGACTGTCCAGGTTTGAAGTCATTTCTTTCTCCTACCTGAAAATACATTTAGACTTTTTAGACATCAATCGTTCATAAATCCTTATGATAATTAAGAAACCCTACTGCTCTACAATCGCTCTTAAAAAATAAAATAACACCACACAGGGTGAATAGGGAAAGCTGGTTAAAGAAACTAACAATGAAAGTTAATCAAATCCATGACACTGCATCCCTGTCTCTATGGCTGTGTTAAGGAATCTCCTTCACTTTTTCTGAGCTTGGTCTCCTCATTTGTAAAGTGTAATGATATCTGCCTCATAAACTTACTGAGATAATTAACTGAAATACTATAGTCAGTGAATGATTGCTTCAGGCTTTCAAAACTGTAGAACCTGGAGTGATGGGTTTCAGTTCAGACACTGCTAATAAAAGCACACCATGAGGGTACAGCGGGCATTCTGAGGCTCTCCAATTTCCACAGGCTGAGAATTCTCAGGTGGTCACAAAGGGAGCACCCATGACAAGTGTCTAAGCCTCTAGGACGCCCTGCTAGCACAGGCCAAGACCTTGAAAAGTCATCCAACTGGATGGCCCTGCAAGGGTCCCACAGACTGAAAGGAAGCCTGGGCTTGAGTCTGGGCTCAAGAGGTCAAATGTCTGGCCAGAGGTCAAATCTCATACCTCCCGATGACGTGCCTAAGTCTCAGTCTCAGGCCTCAGGGGCCACGGAGTCAGCAGGAAAAGCCTTGGCATCCATATCATTCAACCCAGAGATACAGGCGGGAACGTCTCCACTAATGAACACCCTTGTCTGCCTGGCAATTCTGAATAGAAGTCCGTCCTACGTGAACAAAAGGAGACGAACCCTAAGACTGGCTCTCTGTATCCTCTCTATATTTGTATTACTTTTTCTATTTTTAATGCTTTGATATCTTGGGACTTGGTGATGCTGAAGGAATGCCCCCTTCCAGGGCTAACCAATTCAGAGAGATAGTAAAACACTGGGCTTTCAGATGCAAACCAGCCAATCCAAAGTCCTCACTCCAACCACCTCCCCCAATGCATTTTACACTCTGGCCACAGTCCCCTGCTCTAATCACCAGGGTCAGATATCAGACAACAAAGGACAGCCTCTGTGCCGCAGGGCTAATTTTCCCAGAGCGTGCAGAAAGCAGAATAAAGACTCTTGGAGGTTCCCCTGCCCCCTCTGCCTCCTGGCAGACTCCGGTATTTCCCCATGTGGCCCTGCATGGTTTCTATGTGGCCTCTGGTTTCTAAGCATGTGTGAATATTAAAAAAAAAAAACCTTCTTTCTTCATGACAGTCATTTCTGTGTCTGCATGTCTTGCCATATCTGATGAAAACAAATCTAAATATCCTTAACGCAGTATTCTATTTCACCCACTCACACTTGACCACTGGCTTGATCCCAAAATGGACTAGACTTCTCTTAAATATTTCTGTACCAGTTTCATCATCTACTGGACAAAGTGTAGCAAGGTGGAGCACAGGGAGAGCCTAGATGGAAATGAGTCCTGGCACAGGTCCCCGGAGCCCCAGAGCAGAGTACCTGCAGTCATGGACCTTGTTTGAAGAATGCAGCTTGGTCGGCAAAACCAGCTGGTCCATGCCTGGAGCCCTGAGGATCAGGCGGTCGTCCTCAGAGGTGATGGAGACCAACACAAGGCGAGGCTCCTGCCGGCCAGTCACCATGTGTCCGTCTTCCTTTATCACCAGCCAAAACCTGCCAAGGAACCAACAAGGACACACTCAGAAAAGCCTTTGCCACCCACTCCAAAGCTCCCCTCTAGCCTTCTATTTCATTGAAACCTTCCCTCTCTGGGACTTCCCTGGTGGTCCAGAGGCTGAGACTTCAAGCTCCTAATGCAAAAGACCTGGGTTCGATCCCTAGTCAGGGAACTAGATCGCACACACTGCAACTAAGAGTTCGCATGCAGCAACTAAAGATCCCAGGTGCTGCAACTAAGACTCGAAGCAACCAAATGAACATTAAAAACAAAACAAAACAAAACTCCCTCTGCCCCCACTCAGAACCCAACAATTTCTAGACAATATCCAAGTCTAGCCAAATTCTTCCAGTCCAAGAGATGGTGCTACCTCTGACCCCAAAAGGAGTTTGTTTGGTACAAGGAACCCTGGGAAAGAGCATCTGGCCAGTGTATGAAAATCCCCAGTCCCCAAAATCCTGGTGAGGCTGGTGTAGGAACCTCCTCTTACTACTAGAGCTCATACATTGCTCACTTTGGAACTTTGTTTTGGTCAGAGACTTCCCTGGTTAAAGCAAAAGGTCTTCCAGGACTTTCTGCTGTGGAACAAGAGGGCAGTGACCAAATGATGACTGGTCCAGGTGGACTGAAGCTCTAGACAAAGGTCTTGAATGTGTGTGACTCCAGTGGATGCAAACCAGCCTCTGCTGGGTTTACCTTGCTGGGACATGTGGACCTTGATCAGGAAACCCGTAAACAGCCTTTCTTCTTCATGCACGCATTAAAACTTACATAACACTATAAACCAATGCCGTATCTATACATGTGTACTCAGTCACTCAGTTGTGTCAAATTCTTTGAGACCCCATGGACCATTTTTAAAAAGAAAGAAAATGTGGTATGTCTATATGGTAGAATATTATTTAGCCATAAAAAGAAGGAAATTCTGCAATTTTTGACAACATCTATGAAATTTGAGGGTATTAATAGTAAGTGAAGTAAGTCAGACAGAGAAAGATAAATACTGTATAATCTCACTTGTATGTGAAATCTAATAAGCTGGGAATTGCTCGAAACAGAAAGTAGGGCATTTCCCTGACAGTCCAGTAGCTAAGACTCCACGTTCCCAGTATGAGGGGCCCAAGTTTGCTCACTGGTAGGGGAACCAGATCCCACATGCCGCAGCTAAGACCTGGTGCAGCCAAATAAGTAAATATTTTAAAAAGAAAGTAACGGAGAGGAGATTGGTGGCTGCCATGGGTTGGGGGTGGGAGAAATATGTGACCACCTTCAGGTGGTCAAAGGGTACAAACTTTGAGCTCTAAGGGGAAAAGATGTCTGTAATGTACATTATGACATCTACAGTTAATAATACAGTATTTACACTTGAAAACTGTTGAGAGAAAATCTCAAATGCTCTCATGATAACAACAGCAACAAAATGCAAATTATGTGCAGTGAAGGATGTGTTCATTAGCCTTATTACAGCAATCATTTCACAATATATGTGTGTATCTAATCATCACATTGGACACCTGAAACTTACTCAATGTTATACTTCAGTTATCTCAGTAAAGCTGGAGAAAAATATGACTTACCCAAATCATGTGTTAGATAAGAACTCACCTTCTAGACAGTCCCCACCCCCCACCCCACCCCCAGTTCTGGGCTCAGCTTTCACACTCTGTGTATCACATCCAGGGAGAGAGTGGGGTGCAGAGTGAGCTGAAGAATGGAATGTTAGGCCGGTTATGCTCTTATCTATAGGAATGCATATACTGATATTTTGGGTTATACCACATATATGATTTGATTACTAAGTGTGCCGCCCCTAGGGAAAATGAGTTTCAACGTCACTGTTTTAGACAGAACAAGAGCAGTGGGTGAGGATCTCTGCAGACTCTGATGAGTGAACCACCACTGAAAGCTGAGGCCTCCCACATGTGAGCAGGATAAAAAGGACAGCCCCTGCTGGAATGAGGGAGACATTTCAAAATATGCCTGGAGCCAGATGGAATGGTGAGATAACCTGGTGAGCCAGGTCTCTGCCCTCTCTGCCTCTGGCAGGGAGTCTCCTCTCTGGAACCTCCCCTTCAGACAGCCTATCCTTGTCCAAGTGCTGGAGAACCTGCCTCCAAGCTGGCAGACCCGGGCTGGGTCCTGAGCCAGCTCCCTGGCATGCGCGCTGCTTCGAGGATACAGCGGTGGCAGTGGCGATGGTGACAGAGCAAAGGCATTTTGGGAATTGCTGTGGCTACTCTCCCGGGAGCTGAGGATGCTGGGCAGTACTAGGTCCCCGACCCTCTGAGGAGGCCTCCTTTTTTTACCCCAGGCATCTTTGGCTTTCAGGGTTCCCTAGCCCATTCACCTGCGGGGTGAGAGTGGGTTCTGTGACCCAGGGCTTTCCTGCCTACCTTGTCACAGCCCTGTGATGCTGGGAAAGATTGAGGGCAGGAGGAGAAGGGGGCGACAGAGACCGAAGTGACTGGATGGCATCAATGACTCAATGGACATGAGTTTGAGCAAACTCCAGGGGATGGTGAAGGACAGGGAAGCCTGGCGTGCTACAGTCCATGTGGTTGCAAAGAGTCGGGCACCATTTAGCAGCTGAACAACAATTCCCTGGTGGCTGGAAGTTCTGTGCTAACTTGCAAAGGATGGAGCAAGAGGCAACTTGCAAGCAGCCTGACAATGGGGCAGGACGATCACAACAGAGGATACAAAGTGCTGTCGACAACACACATCAGCCACCCCGTTACCCTGCAGCCGGAGTGATGTTAGTTTTCACCTCTGGCACACAAATGATGCCCAGGAGTGAATAATGACCTCTGCTCTGCCAGACGGGCAAGAAAGGATCTGTCTGCAGTGTGGATTTGATCATGACCCACTTCTCCTCACCTGCAACCCTGAAAGCCAGAACCTTCGTTTTACACAGAAAACACGAGTGTGTGGCATGAAGAGCATTGCAGAGCCCAGAACTAAGTCTCCAAAGGAACAGCGATGCCCTGAATGACCCACAGCAGTGTTCAGGGAGCAGAGCGCAAGACAGATGGAAAGTGTCATTTCTAAACGGACAGACTGGCCTGGGAAGCGGGAAGGGCTGAGCCAGCAAAGGCAGGAAAACAGGAGCCCCACCACAAGAGGGAATAGTCTGTGCAGAAGAAATGAAGGGCTGGCTTCGTAAAGGGCTGGGGTGGATTTATCAATGGGTGAGACATACGGCCAAGGAGGACAGCCCAGAATCGGTGCCAAACAGCCAGTGTCAGCGTTTTGCTGGACAGTCTAGAAACCAGCTCAAAGCTCAGGGCGCTCAGGCCCATGGCTCACAGATACATTAAAGGCTTTGACTAGAACAGCTCTAGAAATTGAAGGCCCAGAGCACTTATAGAGGAAGCGCTCAGTGTCTGAGAACAGTTCCAAAGACACAAGTTCAAAATGGAAATAAATCAAGGCGGCCTTTTCTTGCCTTCGTAGACTCTTTGTAGTTTCATGATGGAAATCTCAAGTTGGGAGAATAACAGCGTTATAGCAGAGTTCTTTCCAGTTTGTTTTCCAGTTTCAGTTATCGCCTAATAAATAAAATATAGATTAGACAGGGACTTGGAGATCATCAAATTCAACCTCTTTAGCCAGTGAAAAACAGGCTTGGAAGAGGTTAAGTGACTTCTCTGGAGGTCTCCTGAGACTTGGTGTGATCCTTTCCCCTGTAAATCACATACTGGCTTCACAGCAAGGGCATGAATGTTGCCCTCAGAGATCTGAGTTCAAGTCCCTCCAGCATAGAGCGGTCTTGTTGTTGTAGGAGATAGATGGGCTCCAGGTTAAATAGTTACAACTGGCCTCCTGTTTGCATTTCACAGGGGCCCAAAGAAGTGGGCTTCAGGCTGGATACTTAAAAGTGTTAGCATTTTCTGAAAGAAGAGATAGGTGGGCTCCTGCTCATTAAGAGGGCTGCCTACACCCTGTCGCTCCACATTGCTAATAATAAACTTTGTATCAGCATTTACAATTTCTACCTCTGTGATAAGTGTGTTTTTCACTGGGGGCAAAGATCCAGGGGAAAAATAGCTTCTAGCCTCTAGCCCTTGCTGGCCTGGTGGCTAAGATCCTTGATTCTCATCCAGGCTACCCAGGTTCAATTCCTGGGCAGGGAATTAAGATCTCACTTTACTGCCACCTCACCGAGACCACTGTGATCTCAGGTAAGATACTCATCCTTTCTGATACCATTTCTTTATTTGCAAAGTGGACACAATATCTAGCCCACAAGATTGCTATGAGGCTTAAATTATATTATCTGTTGAAAGGTCTTAGTTCAGTGTCTGCTGAGTATGAACCACCGAATAAACATATTCCATTGCTTTCCCCTGCCTCACCCCAGTCTCCACACCACACCACGCTATCCCATCTCAAGCATATATTGTTCAAAACAAGGGAATGCTGATACAGTTCCATCTACTTTCAGACGTCCACAGAGGCAGAAAAGCGAAGGAAAAATATTCTCTTTCCATGGAAGCCAGTCACAGCAAAGTAGTGGCAACATGCAGTGGGAAACAATAGTTCTTCCTGATGAAAAGCGGACACACAGGCAAGCACTGAATCTCTGTGAAATAGCATCAGTGCTTCACGTGAAGAAGAAGGGAGCACAAGTGCCTTTTCTCTGGATGTGCAGCATGAGAGTTTATGTCTTCACTCTGGCTCAAGTCCTCCCAGCAATCAGGAGGTTTTTCTTTTTTTTTTTCAGGAGGCTTTTCTAACCCTTCACACTAGAATCAGCTCAGATTCTTCTTAATGGTCCCAAAGAAAACCCTCTAAAGATAGCATCAGAATCACCTAGGGAGACCTTCACACCTGAGAAGTGGAGTGTGTCCTGCCATATCAGCAAACAAGGATGTCACGTGAGTACTAAGTCACTTCAATTGTGTCCAGCTCTTTGTGACCCTATGGACTCTAGCAGACCAGGCTCCTCTGTCCATGGGATTCTCCAGCCAAGAATACTGGAGTGGGTTGTCCGCCCTTTTCTAGGGGATCTTCCCAACCCAGGAATGGAACCTGTATCTCTTACATCTCCTGTATTGGCAGGTAGGTTCTTTATCAGCCAGCAGCAATTTCAGCCCTCCATTGTAAGCTGGTGAGCCCGGAGAAACTCAGGGTGTGAAAATAGGATGCTGGCCCCAGATAGGTATGGTGCATGTCAGAGGAATGATTTCAGTGAGCTCAGACTCTTACATCTTCCCATAACATAAAAGCGTTAAATTCCTTAACTTGGGATATCTAGTTTTTTTTAATTTACAAAAAACTTTTGACAATCAGACTGACTACCTGCCCTCTGTTGCAAAACTCCTATATAACCCGGCTCCTCTCTTCTGCCTCTTCAGAGCAGTTCTCTCAGGGTCACTTGAGATGCTATCTCCTGGGTCCTAAAAATTCCCACCAAATAGAACTCAACTTAGAACTCAACTTGTAGGTTGTGACTATTTTTTAAGTCGACACACACTACACAAGCTTGTTTCACTCCTACTCCATAGGCCTGGGATGGGAAACTCAGGATATTACAGTCTTAAAAAACTCTCCAGGGACTTCCCTGGTGGTACAGTGGATAGGAATCCACCTGCCAATGCAGGGGCCAAGGGTTCGTTCCAGCCCTGGTCCAGGAAGATTCCACAGGATGTGGAGTAACTAAAGTCCATGTGCCACAACTGCTGAGCCTGCACACCCAGAGCCTGCGCTCCTCAAGAGAAGGCATCGCAACAAGAACCCTACATACAGCAAGGAAGGGCAGCCCCGCTCACCGTAACTAGAGAAAGCGCATGCAGGAATGAAGACCCAGCACAGCCAAAAATAAATAACTCTCCAGGATTAGAAATCTGGGGTGAAAGGGGTGGAAAATCCCCTGTGAACTTCACACAACACTTTCCTAAAACAACCGGAAGTTTTTCCATGCTGTGGGAGCCCACATTTCTTTAAGGGAAGAGCAATCTTCAGCAAAGAGAGAATACATGCGTCCCGGGAGTGAACCCAGGACAGCAGACATCCTCCGCTAGAAGGCTCCCACAACGACCAATCTGCAAACCTCCCTCCTCTAGACACAGGACCACAGCTAACCCATCCCAGCCAGAGAGCAAAGCATCTTCATCCTAAGGAAGCAAAAAAGGAGGTTCCGTTCTTCCTTGATCACTCTTTCTAGGGTTTGGAATCCTTCCCTGTCTCAACTACCAATCGGCACATGGCAAGGGAATGGCCATCTACCTCTACAAGGATTAAAGCATGTGCTGCTGCAGCTGCTGACCTTCAACACCTCCTGAAAGGAGTTCAGGGTGGAGAGCGGAAATGAGGCGCTCTGGGAAAAACTGAGAAGACAGATCCTCAGATGGTTAGACGTTTTCAGGAGCCAATTTTGTGAGCCCGATTTCTGTATCTCCTCATATTTGGAAAACCACTAAAATCCTTGAAGGTGATGACTTGAAGGTGATGGGCTTGATTGCATGTATTCCCTCTTCCCGAAATCACATGCATACTGACCTTTCCTCCCTGTCTCTTTGGAACAGTTTCTCAGAGCTATCTGAGGTTCTGGCTCCTGGGCAGCAGTCCTCATTTTGCCCCAAGTAAAACTTAACACTCACGTTGTGCATTTTTTTTTTTTAAGTTGACACCTGCCAAGATGGCCTTCCCCTTATGCAGCTGCACCATTCTGTGTCCACGAGTATGTCTGCGGGTTCACCTCTGGGGGGAGAAAAATGACAGGGCACCTTTTCTGAGGCAGGAGGATGAAATTCTGATGTGTCAGGTCCTATGTAGGTAAGGACTTTACCTAAAGTTCTTCACTGAAGACCACTCTGCCTCTGGGGGAGGGGACACACTATTCTTTTAGTGGCAAGTATTACACGCACGGTCCACCTGCCATCTCCTCTCCCCAACAGAAGACTGACCTCTGCTCATTACGTATTACAATGGCTCAGGGCCCCAACCTCCAGCATGTCTCAGGAACCTTCGCCGGGGATTGGAAATGGTGAGGGACCAGCCCTGGCAAGGCCAATGTGCTTGAACAAGCATTGGTTTCAGCATTGCTCCCGTCTACCCACGAGTGCCAAGAACATTTTATTTTTCTACTATTGTGTTCATACTAAGAATCAGAAAATTTAGAACAGCAACCTTGGAGATAAGCAATCAGACCCCATGTTTTTATGGAGCCTCTCCTCCAGGGAGGGACAGAGACTTTGTAAGCAAGCAGGACCTTGTGGGGCTTTCCCAGGACACTCCCTCCCCATCTCTGCTTTAGGTCCTCTCTGAAGTACCCTGTTGTTCAATGGCTAAGTACAAACTCTTTGCAAATCCATGGACTACAGCACACCTAGATAACAGTATTTGATACATATTTCCTGGGCTGTTTTACAGATATAAAAACCCTCACCAAATGGAAGATATTAACTACTAGACGACCATGAATACACCGCTCCAGGCCTCCTGGAGCCTGAGGAATGAAAACATTAACTCCTGTGACCCTCCCATGATACTTCACTGTAAGCCAGTCAAGAGAATTGTGCAGGATCTTATTTCTGACCCTGCGACACCCCCTCACCTGGAGTTAAAAATGCTCTGTCAGGGGACTTCCCTGGTGGTTCAGTGGCTGGGACTCTGATCCCAGTGCAGGGGCCGGGGTCTGATCACTGGTCAGGGAGCTGGATCCCACGTGCTGCAACTAGTAGTTCACAGGTCACAGCCAGAGATCCCAGTGTAGACCAACAAATAAATAAAGATAAATTAAAAAAAAAAAATCTTGGTCAAAACCTTTCCAGGAGAGGTTTGGGGGAGGTCTGTGACACCAGTCTCCTTGCATGGCCCTGCAATCAAGTTTTCTCTGCTCCAAACTCCAGCCTTTTGGGTTGTCTGGCCTCACCGAGCCCTACAGGCACAGAAACTCGCAGCTAACAGCTTGCCTCCACTAGCTTTCCAAATCTGAACCAGACAAGAACTTGACCTTTCCAGCTACAAGATCAGAGGCAGATGACCCAACAAGCAGCCCAGGAAAAGCCCGCGGCAAACCTCTGTTCTCCTTCCCTGGGACAAGCCCCAGCTCCCCCACCCCGCCCCCTCCCCGGCTGGTCCCGCGCTGTTTCCGCGCCCGGCCCTACCTGTCCCGCAGGTGGCCGCTGCGCAGCCCCAGGGCCGTGCACTCGGCCGCGTCCACCGACACCCCCTTGCAGGACTTGACCGGGTAGATCCACAGCTCGCTCACCGTGCCCACCTGCTGCAGCCGCCGGCGCCGACCGGGCCGCGCGCGGCGCCAGGTGACGGCTCCCAGCGCCACCGCGGCCAGTCCCAGGGCGGCCACCCCCAGCCAGCGGGGCCCGGGCGGCGCGGGGAGGCCCAGGCGGGCCAGAGCCGAGGAGCCGGCGGTGCCCATGACCCAGCGATCGCGGGCGGCGGCCTGAACGCACACGGGGCAGCGTTGGAGTGAGGAGGGCGCCGGGCGCTCAGGGCTCCGGGCGAGAGGGCGGAGCCAGAGCTGGTCCAGTCACCCGCCCTGGCACTCTCCGCGCGCCGACGCGGCGGGACTGGCTGTGCACAAGGAGGGGACCCCTAACTGCGGCGCCGAGGACCCGGCGGTAACCGAGGGACAGGAGACAGAAAGCGGGCCGGGATGCTCAGACGCCCCTGGGGGAAGCAGGGATCAGGAAACCGAAGCCGGAGGCCTGGCTGCCCACTCTCTCTGACCGGTCACTGTCGCTTTATTGCTCCGTCTTCCTGGTGGCCTGCGACGCAACCCCTCACCCGCCCACATTCCACCCGCTCTCCAGGGCCTCTTGGCTTCCTGCACTGCCCACGTAACTGCAACTGCGTGACTGGAGCCCAGCGAACAGGGAAAGCGGACATGGCTGATTCATGTCAATGTATGACAAAACCCACTGCAATGTTGTGAAGTAATTAGCCTCCAACTAATAAAAATAAATGAAAAAAAAATACATAAACGTTTAGCAGCTCCTACTGGCAGATGGCTCTGAGAACTGCAGAACTTTGGGCCCATAACCCGTTCCGTGGAAATGTCTATGCTGTGGATAAACTCCACCATGGCTTCCTGCTGCATAAGGCTAAGCCCCGAGGATGACCCCAGCTTCTAGTTCAAATGCCTACTTGAGAAAACTCACTGCTGCCAAGAGGTTTCAGTGTTCTGTTCCTGCCAATATCTGAGGACTGGCCCCTGGATCCCCACCTCCTTTCCTTGTTTACAGACTTTTGCTCTGGGCCTCCTTAATCAGTAGAAACCAGTAGAGGCAGCGGGGGAGACAAGAAATTCAGGCAAGGCTATGTTGGAACTTGAACTGCAGCACCAGGAAGCAAAAACAAGAAACAGATTCCCTCCCTTGCTCCCTGAGGGGGTGGGGAGTGGGGGACTGCTGACTCCTTATGTGGGGTGAGGGCAGGGGTGGATCCAGGGGTAGAGCTGGAGGGGTAGCTTAAGTGGGATGCCCACCCTTCGGTGGTCCTAGGTGCAGGGTGCATGAACAGTGCAAAAGCAGGGTGCAAAAGTAGACCCCTGCTTTTGCTGGGTTTGGGGTCTTTTTGTATCTTCTTGTTCCTAATTTTCCCCCACTGCACATGCACACAACTATTTTTAGTCCCTTGTAGTTTCTTTGTATTTTGTTGCTGCAGGAGACCTTTGTCCAGGAGCAAGCATTGCAGCAAAGGTCCCAGGTCACAACCTGTCTCACTTTCAGAGCCCTTACTCAAAAGGCTTCACCATTGTGAATCCTCCCTCTGTCCTTTCCAGATGTGTACGAATCTCCTACAACTCAGAAGTGTCTTTCTCAAGGGCCTGAGAACCATTCCTTTGAACTGTAAATCTGTACCGCCAGGCCCAACACCATCTCATTGCCCCCATCCTTGTCAGTTTCACCTGAGACCCATTTCCTCTCATTCACCCTTTAAAACCCAGTCACCTCTGCATTCATGGGGATGGAGTTCAGTTCTTTCCCCTCTGTTCAGTCAGTTCAGTTGCTCAGTCCTGTCCAACTCTTTGCAACACCATGGACTGCAGCACGCCAGGCCACCCTGTCCATCACCAACTCCTGGAGTTTACTCAGACTCATGTCCATTGAGTCGGTGATGCCATCCAACCATCTCATTCTCTGTTCCCCTTCTCCTCTTGTCTTCAATCTTTCCCAGCATCAGGGTCTTTTCAAATCAGTCAGTTCTTCACATCAGGTGGCCAAAGTATTGGAGTTTCAGCTTCAGCATTAGTCCTTCCAGTGAATATTCAGGACTGATTTCCTTTAGGATGGACTGGTTGGATCTCCTTGCAGTCCAAGGGACTCTGAGTCTTCTCCAACACCACAGTTCAAAAGCATCAATTCTTCGGCACTCAGCTTTCTTTATAGTCCAAATCTCACATCCATACATGATTACTGGAAAAACCATAGCTTTGACTAGACGGACCTTTGTTGGCAAAGTAATGTCTCTGCTTTTTAATATGCTGTCTAGGTTGATCATAACTTTTCTTCCAAGGAGCAAGTGTCTTTTAATTTCATGGCTGCAATCACTATCTGCAGTGATTTTGAAGCCCAAAAAAATCTGTCACTGTTTCCATTGTTTCCCCATCTATTTGCCATGAAGTGATGGGACCAGATGCCATGATCTTAGTTTTCTGAATGTTGAGTTTTAAGCCAACTTTCTCACTCTCCTCTTTCACTTTCATCAAGAGGCTCTAGTTCATCTTTGCTTTCTGCCATAAGGGTGGTGTCATCTGCATAACTGAGGTTCTTCATTCCAGCTTGTGCTTCATCCAGCCCAACGTTTCTCATGATGTACTCTGCATATAATTTAAATAAGCAGGGTGACAATATACAGCCTTGACATACTCCTTTCCTGATTTGGAAAGTCTGTTGTTCCATGTCCAGTCCTAACTGTTGCTTCCTGACCTGCATACAGATTTCTCAAAAGGCAGGTCAGGTGGTCTGGTATTCCCATCTCTTGAAGAATTTTCCACCATTTGCTGTGATCCACATAGTCAAAGGCTTTGGCATAGTTAGTAAAGCGGGAGTAGATGTTTCCCTACTGGTCCCATAAAATTCCTTTTTACTGCTTTAACTGAAGTCCAGGTTTGTTACTCCTTACCAGCTCCATTCACACAAGCTCTTCTGTAAACAGTGGATTTTCTTAGAAAAGTTAAGGTTTGAGGCCATTTGTTTATTTTTCAAAGACTGTCCTTTAATCTGCTGCCAGGTTCTGAAGAGTTACCAGCAGGCCACCTCCTGCCATCAGGATTGGTCATTCACAGGAGAAAAAGGCTGCCCTCCAGGCTGGGAGGAGAGCGGAGGAGGGCAGGGTGCACAGGAGCCAAGCTCCCTTCCAGGGTTCCTCCTGCAAAGTGAAAGTCAAAATCCCCCTGTAAACAGACCCTGTTGGAAACTCCAGGCCAGCGCATGCCCTCTCTTCAAAGAGCACATATTCTCATCATGGTCAGAGACCAAGACTTGGATTTCTTTTTCTAGTGTGGTGTTGTGAATGCAGGGCGTGTTTCAACTTGCATCTGGTCCCCTTCGCCTCTCCAGATACCAGACCCCATGAGTCTACCATCAGCACGAGGTCCTTATGAACCCATCCCCCACACTGCCCTGAGCTCCCAGACATGAGAAACTGTCTTGTTGATTGAGCATCTGTTCCTTTCCACACACACTTATTGCTCATTCCACCTAGATTGGCCCTGGGGATTTAATATTTAGAAGAAGCTGCCCCACCGTCCAGGAGCTTACAGAGCCCCTGGAAGACAGACTCGGAGGATAATGTCAGAGGGCAGGCAAGGTCAGGGTGCAATGCAAGTGAGCAGGAGAAGCAAGGCCATCTCAGGGCAAGTCGTGTCTTCAGAGGAAGGAGCTTTTGAGCTGTGACTTGAACAAAAAGGAGGGCTTTGGAGAGCGACCTGAGAGGGGATTCTGAGACAAAGGAGCAAACTGAGAAAGGAGCAACGTGGAGAAACTGAAGGAACAAGAGCCTATGACGTGTTTGAACAGCCCCTAGAAATCCTACCTGTGTCTGCAGCCAGGGAGTTGAGGTAGGACAGGTGGGCGGGGCCAGGCCACAATACACATGACTCATCTTAACGTGGAGACCCCTCAGGATTCAGAACAGCAGTGAGGCTTGATGAGGCTCCGGTGTTTGAAGGTCACTCTGGCTTCTCTGGGAAGGAAAAGTGCCCAAGGTGGTTAAATGAGAGGCGCCCTAGTTCAGGCTGAAATAATCCCAAATCAGGGAAAAACAATGGAGATGGAGATGGGGGATGGGGGGCTCCTTGGTGGTCCTGTGGCTTAGGGTTTTGTGCTTCTACTGACGGGAGCCTGGATTCCACCCCCTTGTCAGGGAACTAAGATCCCACAAGCCTCACTGTGTGGCAAAACCCAAAAAAGTTGGCAATGGGGCCGTGGATAGGAGAGATAGACAGACGGCAATTAGCAAGAGGTGGAGACAGATGGATCAGTGAGATTGAGGGAGAGGGGTCCATGGTGACTCCCAGCTCTCTGGCATAGCTGTCTGGGTGTGGGTGGGAGGTGCCATTCTTCAAGATAAAGAATTCCAGAAAAGCTCGTATGGGGGGAAAGATGATGAGCTCTGTTGGGAACAGTGAGTGTGAGTTATATGTGGAACATCAAAGGAGAAATAGTTACCTGGACAGGTAACTGACCTTTCTGTGCCATCTGTAAAATGATGCCTAGAGATCTCTGAGATATCAGCTCGGAATTCTGTGTTTCCTAGATCCATACTGGTTGGCATCGGTTCCAACAGCCAAATAAGAGAGGAACTTTGTCATGATGAGCATGAAGTCTCTGCTACCCTTACTCACCATCACCCACCACCTAGGCTGCCCCAACTACCATTTCACCAGAGCTCAGGGTTGGGTGATTTCAGGGACCAAGGATATTCCTTAATAGTAATGTGCACACTAGCAGCCCTAGTATCTTCATTGCTAGAACTTATGAGAAGCAATGGGAGGTTGAGGATCTATTCATCTTATTGGTTATTTGCTTTTCTTTTCCCTTTTGATTTGGAAGATTGCCTTGTCTGTCCTTTTCTTGTTGATTTATAAGAGATTTTTGTAAGTTTAGGAAAATACCCTTTTATCATAGGTGACTCAGAGTTGTTGACCTTTCCCCTAATTTGTCAGTTTGGGGGCAACTTCTGTGTATTGAGACATCACTGTCTGCCTTGAGGCGCTGATACATCTAAATAAAACTCAGATGATTAGAGTACCAAGCCAGGAAGCAGAGAAAAAGTCTAAAAGACAAATATTGCTCTTGCTTAGCCAGGCCTTTATCAGGAGCGTGGGTCCCCACCAGCCAACAGAATTATTAAGTAGGGCCACTCAGCAGTGTATCTCTCATGGAATTAGATTATCAGAATGTGATGATAATC